ATTCGAGGCACATTCATGATTTTCTTCAGCCATATTTACTACGTGGTGTTGAGATTTTTGCTTACGAGCCCCCCTTTTGCATACTAAGACGTGTGCATGTACATATGTGCATACGGCATATAATGATAATGTGAAAATATAAATACGTACATTACATGCATGCTTTAACTTACCTATTATTACATTATATAACGATAATATCATGCATAAATGTCTTTTCATTGCAAAATAGCGAAATTATTCTCAGCTTTACTTTTCTAAGATCATGAAAAATATAATTATAATTCTGACTTTTAGATTATTTTCAATGATTACGACTCTGATTATAAAAAACATAAATTTATGTAAATATATTGTACCAGATTATAGAATTAAAAATTACAAATTTCACACATTGGATGGTTGATAATTAAATATAAATAATGAACTTACATTTTTGCAAATGCTAATCTCGAATATTGGGAAAAAAATCAAACGAATAAACATATTTTAAAAGAAAATATGTGCATAAAACCCATGGAAATTGCAAGGAATGACATGAAATAGTCCGATTTGGTTCGAACACGACAAAAATTCCGTATGTATACATGTATTTGGTATAGATTTTATCATAGAAACATGGAATTTCAATTCATGTTAAAAACTGTTTTCAAAACTTTCTTTATGTATACAAAATATTTCACATTTCCGGTACTTGTTTGCAGCATGCAGTACTATTTCATGCCATTTCTCGCAATTTCTGTGCGATGTTGCTTACTTGCCATTTTATAAGTATATATATACATGTATTAGCGTGTATATCACAATTTCAATTAGTTTTGCATAAAAAGTATACAAATGTTAACAATTAGCTGATAATATGGTATAAAATCGAAATAATGACTATGTATTGATTATATTGATTTGAATTTTAGTGGTTCCTTTGTTTAGCATGCATTTCTAATAAAGTGACATTTCGTGTTAGTTTTATTGGAAATAACCGAAGCATTTACATTTGCAATATCATTTATAATCACATTTGGATATTTACAGTAGATCAAATGACAAAGATTCGCGTATTTTATACGATATATGATTGCTTGAGTTGTTAATCCCTTTTTACTATATTCGCGATTCTGACCGAGTTTTAAAATAAACGAATTATATATAGTCCGAAGTTATTGCAATATTAATGAGCAGTGTAGACGTAAGAGGACATACAGGAACGCAAATGTATTAATGTACACATAACTAGCGATATTTATCGACATTTTTCATATTCATATCGAAAAAATGCCATCATTTACTTTAGTTATTAAAAATGCGCGCAATCAATACATTAGATATTGTGCTATATTCATTTTGCGAATAGGTTATTTGAGAAAAAATTATAATAAAAAAGCCGGTTTTCTGCTTCGTGGCATCCATCCATCGTCGATATTTTCTACATTATCATGGGTGATAATCGCACGTATTATTCGGTTCCGCAACAGAATATTCATCAAAACTACCGTTTCGTTCCGCGACAACAAAGTTCAGTTAATAATCCTATTGATCGAAACTACCTTTTCGTTCTTCAACAACAAAATTCAATCAATAATCCTAATGAACAAAACTACCTTTCCATTCTGCGTCAACAAAGTTCAATTCACAATTATACGGATCAAAACTCTCTTTTCGTTCCACAACAACAAAGTTCTGTCAATGAAAATACTGATCAAACCTACCTTTTCGTTCTTCAACAACAAAGTTCTGTTAATGAAAATACTGTTCAAAACCACCTTTTCGTTCCGCAACAACAAAGTTCAATTAATAATCCTAATGAACAAAACTACCTTTCCGTTCTGCGACAACAAAGTTCGATTCATAATTATACGGATCAAAACTCTCTTTTCGTTCCACATCAACAAAGTTCTGTTAATGAAAATACTGATCAAACCTACCTTTTCGTTCCGCAACAACAAAGTTTTGTTAATGAAAATACTAATCAAAACTACCATTTCGTTCCGCAACAAAGTTCTGTTAATGAAAATACTGTTCAAAACTACCTTTTCGTTCCGCAACAACAAAGTTCAATTAATAATCATACTGATCAAAAATTCCATTTCGTCCCACAACAAAGTTCAAGTGATAATCGCACTGATCAAGAGGTAGTCTCTGAATACTATAAAACGCCGTCACCAAATGACTTTAAAGAACTAAAAAACAAATGTGCTTCCTTTATTCTTTTCCGTAAGAAAATTGATGATGCTCTAAAAAAAAGCGGGAGGGTAAGAACAGCTGCTCAGATTTCTAAACTCGCTTCCGAATTATGGCATAATACACACCCTGATGAAAAAAGAAAATATAATCAAATTTCAGCTGGATTAACACAACAACACGCCAGTTGGTCAAATACCTTTCCGGAACAAGTATTAATTCATGCAGTGACTGAGCTCGAGCCCGAGCCCGAATCTGCGCCTGAAATTGAACCTGAATCTAAATCTGATTCGGAATATTTTCTATATTCGAAATATATTTGGACAAATGATGATGCAAAATTATTTCCAAATATATAATAATTATTGCAAAAATTTTCATAGAATCTGATAAATATAAATTTAAAAGCAAAATCTTAAATCTAAATTATTATACTATGATGGTACAAATTCTATTTCAACTAATTTATGCAACAATGTTATGCTTAATTTTATATGAAACAAAATATGTCAAAATATTTATATGTTCATTTTTATTAAGAAGTTCTCAAATAAATTTTAATAAATTAAAAAAGTTATAAAATTAAATATATTATATAAAGTTCAATAAATTTTGTATTAAAATTAAAATTTGCTAATTAAAGAAAAATAGATAACTTAGAATAAGAATACTTATGCATTTTTAAAGTTTTAGTTTAATTAAATGTTGCTTAGAAAAATTCTTTCATACTGTAACTGTATCAATTAAAGATTAACTGAAATAGAAATTAATTTTACGATTTCGGAATAAAGAACAGCATGAAAAAGTCAAAATTGAAATAAGATCATGATAATATTAAATTAAGTTTCATGCAAACTTGCACTTGAATTCTTATGATAAATTTGTGAAAAATTAAAAGTCTATTAAAATTTCCAAAGTTCCACTATTTAAGCTAGCAAAGTGCAAGTTCTGAAACTCAGTAATTTCAGTAATCTTGATATCATATTTCATATTGAACCAACAAAATCTTGGAAATGTTCTCTCTGAAGCAAAAATATCCAAGAAGGATATGCTAATTTTACGAAAATTTCACAAAGATTACCCGACTTTATTATCACGCGTTGTGATGTTGAGCAAATTTGGCACTTCCATCACGATTTTTATTATTATTATGCGAACTTAAAAAGAATATCACCGCATCACGCATACAATAGACAAAATTGGAGATTCCATAAGAAACAAAACGGGCGGATTTTTTGTTGATCCTAGATCTTGGGATCTTTTGAAGAGGGCTGCTTCCAAGTACATGTACATGTATATACGACAAAAGAGATGACATAATATTTATATTACATAAAAGGCAAATACATATATTTTGGAATGGCTGAAATAATAATATTAATGATTACTTGTGCCCTTGGAAACTGACTACATGTAATTTGATTGTTTAAATATCCAATCATTAATAAATTTACGTAATAGTCGAACTTAAAAAAACAGTTTTGATGATTTTAAGAAAGATCTTTAAGTGTATATAATTTTCTTTTTTTATCCATTTAAATAATGAGAATAAATCTATGCAGTATACGGCATGACTATTCTTCTTTATCATTTTCAAAAGAAAGTTCGACCGTTTTATTTGTAATACCCAATAATCATTTACAGTGCAGAACAAATTGTCTTGAGAATATTCGAATATTTTTTTTAGTTGGTGATTATTTTATTTTTGTAGACAACAAGTAGATATAATGATAAAATATATCTTTGCAGATAAATCGATAAGATAAAAGTTATGAGATGCATTGTTAAAAACTATCAGTCTTGCGTCAACTCCTAAAATAATAAAAAAGCCGAGTTGTTGATCTATTTCGTTGTCATTTATGAATTTCTATTTTGGTGAAATGCATGCACTTTGCCCTATTTACGAAGTCTCCTACGAAATCTACAATTAAATACATGTACATATCGATATCGATCGATATATTGAAATGAAAATTGGGGTTTTTTGATAAAATATATTGTCAAACGTGTAACGGAAACATTCAAAACGTTTATTTATGAAAATAGTTTTTTTTCGAAATTTCGTCCATGAAACTACTTTCTATGTTCTAATGAAAAATTTTCCTTGCGAAATTTTACTATATAATTTAGTTATGCATATCGATATAATCCCAAAATGATACGTTATTACAAAATAATGATAAAAATTTACTTATTTTAGTCAATAAAATATTTTTAAACTATTTAATTGGTTTAAAAAAATCCTATTTTACAATTAATTGCAAAACATACTTATTTAGTTAATAAATTTCTACCTTTAATTTGGATTACGAAAAATATTCCATAATTCAATCTTTCGATAATAAAAATAATGATAAAAATATACTTATTTAGTCAATAAAAACATTTTTACATTTAATTAGTTTGTTCTATCTTTACAAGTAATTGCAAAATATATTTATTTAGTTAATAAACATTTGTTTTACGAAAATTTATATTTTTTTGCAGATAATTACAAAGAGTAATAATTGCAAAATGTACGGAGTTACCATTCCAGCTCAAATATAAAAATCCAAGACTCTAACTTTCGAAATTTTCTCATGCCTTCATGATAACGTTAAGGTATTCTAATATGTTTATAATTAAAAGTATCATTTATCCTTTTTTGCGTATTTGGTTATCAACCGTGTGCTACACGATAACTTTAGATAATCAAAAATTTTATGAAGGCCTTCCTACTGTCCCCGATGACCCTGATTTATTAATGGAAGAACCCGAAAATTTTGCTGTTGAATGGCCGCCGCAATTTAATTTTGAAGAAATTTGCAAAAATAATGAAACTAAACGAAGAACTCTTAACAGCTTCATGCTTTTTCGTATCAAATATTTGGAAAGTCTTCAGCAACTTGGGATTGTACGTTCGATGGGAATTGTAAGCAAAATGGCTTCTAAAGCGTGGGGAAATTTGCCACAAAATAAAAAGGATTATTATGAAGACAAGTCGAGATCCTTTAATGAAACTATCTCATTGAATAAAAATACCGGCATTAAAAATCAAACCAACCAAAAGCAAAAACAAAAGAAAAGAACTAGAATGAGCAAGCAAAGGGGGGCTCGTAAGCAAAAATCTCAACACCACGTAGTAAATATGGCTGAAGAAAATCATGAATGTGCCTCGAAT